TTAGCTTCTTTATTTAATCATGGATTGCAGGTCTTCCCTTGGGATTTTTCTTTAAAATAGTAATGTACCTATTCTGTACATTGCCTGTCAGTAAATATATATGTATTTCTATGAGAAACTGTAATATTGAACTGTTTGGAAATTACTGGTTTGAGGGATTTATCATGTGATTTATTGGAAATGAAAAGTTAAAAGTGCAAAGAGAGGGTGGTATACCCACTGTTTGACAAAATCAGCTGACTTTGTGGAAAAAAGTGTCAACAAAGACTTTAAGAAAAGGGATGGATTTTTGTAGCGTAATTGTTGGATAAATAAATTTGTATCTGTGGTGAAGGCTGTCTAGCAACAGCCTTTGAATGAAAGTTACTTTTTCAGTATACACCTAGGCGTGACACTGGTAGAGAGGCTTGCAAGAAGGCAGAGCTATCTTTGTCCCTCTAAAAGAAAAACCTAAAAGGAAAACCAGCTAAGAAGCTCTATTTTCTCTCTGATGTAGTTTGAAAAACTTGATAAAGTTTCAAATACAAGGACACTTAACTCTTTCTCATCAAAATCTAAGATCTGGTCTGAAGATTTTCCTTTATTCTGCGACTATCAGCAATTGGATCTCATCAACAGATAGCAAAGAAACTGTGCGAAATCAAGCGATTATATTTTCTGAATGTGGACTCTTGACCTATTGGGGTGTTGTTCCTTTTTGCCTATTTTTAAAAATCAATAATATCTACGCTGTTACGCTGTCTTGTCCCGTGTATGAATGTACGTGTGGGACTAAGGAGATATAGTTTAGGTCTCCATAGTAGCTTAGTTAATAATCCATTTTTCTATTTGTTTAAGGAATAAGTAAACAAGTTATTTTTTGAGTTTGTTGAATAAATCTTGTGAAAGTCTTTGTTCTAGATAACAGTGATAAAGAGGAATAAATTGAACTTTTTGGTATAGCTCATGGAGTAGTGAACCTTGATTACTAGTACACTCTTCTCATTTGAGCTGTAACAATATTCTGAAATATCCATTTAAATGTCTTCCACTGCTACTCTTCTCCTAATACGCAAGTACACTTCAGCTAGCACAGCTTTCATGTCCACAGTTGCCCTCATTGAGATTAAAACATTCTCATCTTTTTCAAACAGGATACAAAATCCAATCCTTTTACGATTGCTGCAACCTAGAAATGCCTTTACTCCGAGGTAATTAATTAATTGTGGAACATTGTACAATATTAAGTCCAATATAGCCTGCTCTGTTTCAAAAATATAGAATGAGTGATAAAAGTAAGGGTTAAGGGGAGAAAACAAAAGGGAAGAATATGCTCTACAAATGGTAAGTCATGACAAGGAGTTCCCAGTAACAAGATGATGACAGAATGAGAAAGTTTCTCTGGGCAACTTTATGCCTATTTCAATCCCAAATGATCCATACTTAGTAATCAAGTTGAGGTGGTTGTTGTAGTAATATACATGGCATCAGTAGTTGTAGGTTCATCATATGCCACTTAAGGAGGAAGTACACATCACCCTGAATCATTTGTTAACATTCAGTAGCCAGCTAAACCACATCTTTCTAGAAGGGTAGCATCTAGATGAAAGACTTGAAGAGCAGTACATCTGTACAAAGTTGTAAAGGGGAAGCACTAAATGTAAGAAGAACTGACAACTCAACAAGCACCAGTCCATTAGACCAATACATTTTAGCTAGATTTGAGTAAACATTTCACTTGTTGTAAACCACATGTTTACAACATAAGATGAACAACACAGCATGCATGACATGCATGATACTTGAGATTTGGCATGAAGTATGTATACCTACTCCTGGAGACTTTGCAGAAACATAATATTCAACGTCTTGCATGCTAACCTAGCCCCATAATATTGTTATTTTTATACTCCTACTTACTTAGCTACTAAAAAGTGAAAACATTTCAAAACATCAACAAAAATTTCTATAAAAATGTCATGAGCCTTATTCATCTCAGCACTGAACTGTCACTTTTTCCCTTTGGTCAGCATCTCATTCAATCAGCCTCTTGCAATATTGACTTTTGTTATATTTATAACACTCTAATAACTCACTTAAAAACTCACTCAACTCCAACTATAACTTAAATTCAGTATCACAATCTAATGATTTATTTTACAGCCATTCTACTCGATTTCACAGCTGAAGCAGAATCCTTGAAGCACAGGAGACAGCCATTCAATGCATCATACCAATACTTTAAAAAAACTGTCCAATTTAGTCCCATGCCTATCAATTTCTTCCCCATAGCTGTGCAAATCAGTCCTCTTCACGTTGCCTAACATCATTTCCCTGCTTTTATTCTCCTTACCTCAGCTACAAAAGGTAAGTAAAAACGAACAGGTAAGTATCCCGTATATAAGTATCCCATATACATTTTCAAACACATTACCCATCCTGCCATGTATAGGGATTTGCTGACATGAATTCAAGGTTCTCTCTGTTCCTCCCCAATGCTCAGTATCCGATCTCATTCTTTGTCAATAATTTTCAATGTATGCCCTCTGATTACTGGCTTACTGTCTACACAATGTAGGTTCTTCCTATCTGCTGTATCAAAATCCTCCATAACCTTGAAGATTTATATATATCAGCTTCTTGAATTTCTCTATACTGAGTTCCTCATCCCTAGTACTATTTGCTAAGTCTCCTCTGGATTTGTCCCATACTATAGTGCCCAGAATTGTGCAGAATACTCCAACTGAGACATAACCAGAATACTTGTGAAAGTTTAGCATGACTACATTTATGCATTCAATATTTGCTTATTCAATGCTCCTGACTGCTTGATCAACATCTCAGTCTAAACATCCATCCTTTTAACCAACAATGTAGTTTTGATAGTGTGTACATGCACTGCAGAAAGTTGCTGAGGCTTATTTAGCAGCACCTCCTAACCCATAACCTCTACCATTTGGAAAACAAGGGCAACAGCAGCATTAAAATTCCAATAGCCCCAAAATCTTCAATCGACACACCATCCTAACTTTGCAAATGTTGCAGTTTATTGAAAGTGCTGTAACTCTATACCTCAGGGCATTGTGAGAGTTCCTTCCTCACATGCACTGCAGCAGTTCAATAATAAGGCATTCACCACTTTTTCAATTCTAACTAGGGCAGGCAATAAATCCTTACTAGAAATACTCATATTTTGAGAACGAATAAACATTCACTTCAGTTAGACCAATCATTTACTGGTCAATTAATTTATAACATTGCCAAGTCATGTCCTTATTAAAAAATGTTTTTTTTACCTTCTCTTAATCCAAGCTCAAACAGTGCCTTTCTAAAATTGGTGCTTTAAAGTTATGAACAAGACAAAGATACGTATCTGCAAATTAATAAAAGCTTTTATTAAATAATTTTGTTTTACAGTAGTTGGGTCATTAAAATAATTGTTAAGATAGTTCAACTTATGTTATTTTACTTCCTTTGGTTAACTGTATAAACATTTTTATAGGCTGAGTTTCACTTTTACATGGAATATATTTGTTCATGACTCAACTTTTTGTTTTTTAATGATTCTGGGACACCTAAGTATTCTTCACGGTGCATATCCCTCTCTCTAGAGGTTGGCAAGATTTTGATTTTAATGCAGTTTTCTGGTATTTTCCTTCATTTGGTTTCTTTTCCCAAGGTAGCAAAAATTAAATTTCCTTATCTGACTGTATCTCACCACCTCCTAAGATTACTTTTCAGTAGTTCCATTGGCTTTGACTTCCTTTCCATTAGTCAGTTGCAGCCTCCATTTACAGAGAACTATAGAGAATCATAGACAGATTTCCAGCATTGAGGAGGTCCCTCAGCATTGATTCTTCAATCTTAACTAAACACTTACACCCACTATTTTGGAATTTGTCAAGTTTAAAAATCATTGTTAGTATTCTACCTTCCTATTAACACAGATATTTGATTTCTGTGAAAGCAAGTCCTTCTATGATCTTTTTCCTGATCATAGATTCCCTGATCTATTTGATTATCAATGCATGGAGGTTCTTACACTGATAGTTCAGTGAGTGAGTGCAATTGAGGTTGCTACTTCAGTTGGTTAGATGGCTAGCATGTGGTTCACATTAATGCCAAAAGCACAGGTTGTATTCTCATTCTGGCAGGGACCCTCAATCTGTACCGGAAAGTGGAAAGACATTGGAAAACTGCAATTGCCAAAAACTACTGTAAAAATGGTTCAGGATCTCGCACCATCCAACAATTAATCAAGGACCCACCTTCAATATGAACACAGATAAACAATGAAGTGAGTATATGAAGTTGCTAAGTACTGAAACATGTGAACATATTACAAGATTTTTGGTCCTTCCTGAACTTAGCCAGGTAGTGATGTTGGTGCAAACAGTTTTATATTTGGGAGATGTTGGCGAGTTTATGTCGACCAGGGTACTTGCACTCTTGCACATGAACTGTACCGTCATTCCAAATCTAAAAGAACACAGGTCACTTCCGTCAAATAGCCCATTGCTTTTACAGGCTCACAATAAAGTGTTGCCACTTGGGTAAAACATTTAATGGCTTGCTGTGTTTTGGAGCATTTTTGTGTGTGCCCATTGCATAACTATTACAGGGGGAGCTTTGACTGCAGTATTGCCATGTCAGAGATTCCACCACTGGCATTACTGGGCCAATTTTGTATGCAGCATTAGTATCTACTTTGCAGCATTTATTACTACACTCAATCATATTAATTAATAAATCATTGCATCACCTACAGTACTAATATCCTTGTATAAAATGAAGACGTCCATACGGCATGTTCATTTCTAATTTGCTGCATCGTAACCCTCCAGATTTTACGGAAAATGCAGTAATTTTAAATACTTATATGCGTTTTATTTGTTTAAAAAAATGTTTTTCTTGCTACATCATTTGACTTACTACCACTCCCAACCAAGCTCCATGGCAACGCCCTGTCTGACAGCAGCTGCTAGTTTGTCAATGACGTAACCGCACAGCCTACCAGCCAATGGCTGGTCACTTCAGTCTACTGACGCGCCTTCCGGTAGCGGATTCGGTTGGTGACGCAGAAGCCTGAGCATTAGCGAAGAAAATATATCGGGGGGGCGGAAAAAAAGTCGAAAGAAGAAGAGAAAAGAGAGCAAGAGAATTCAGGAGACTGTAGCTGGTGTTTTGAAGCGGGTTGCGGCGGTGTTTTCCGACGTGACGGCAGAAAATAATCGACTCCGGATTGGTCTGTGCCGAGCTCGGTTGTTTGGGCCCGGACAGGTAAGTGTGGGATCGGCCTGTGTCGGGACTTGTTCGAGCAGCCGCCAAATTGAGTCCCAGCCACCGGACTGCACTGAGTATGCGCCCGTTTGTAGGGCCAACAGCCGCGCATGCGCTACAACGAGTGCCAGCTACAGAGGGAGGGGAGGGTAGTGTTGAATATAGTTGTTGCTGTTAGATTTCGGCGCCAGTCTATCATTTCCAATTTAAAACAAAATCTTAATCCCCCCATTAATAATTAATATGTTGTACAAGTGCCGCCGCGTTCACATACGACGTGGTTTTAAACGCAGCTCTTTTTTAATACTAAGAGCAAGTACCCTATTTACTAATGGTTGGTACATGGAGGAAACGAATTAAGAGTACTTTTTAACCGAAAAAAAGGGGATCTCGATGTAGTCGTTTGACAAACGCTGACACAGCATGTACAGACAGACATTTGTTTTTTTTTTGTTTACCACGTTTGTTCGTCCCTGGTATACTCTGGAGAGCCTGTGCTGTTGTTGTAGAACCGGGCTTCACTTTTTGTCAACGTCTTTACGCATGTTTTTTTTTGGAACGGGATTTCGTAGATCATTCTAGAAAGCCACAAAGATGTTAAAGTGAAATTACTTAAACGCCAAGCTTGCCAAGGATGAAAGTTGAAATTCTGATTGTTATTTTTTAAGGGAAGTTTCGACTTTAATTTGCTACAGGCTCTTAGCCCGTAATTTGGCGTGTTAAGTTTCTCAGTGCGCTGAAAGAGACACATTGTATTTCACTGCACCTAATAAATCGCCTTCTGCCTAGTTTGATTTGAAGAGAATGCGTTACTTTTTTGTATATATCGTTAATCAGAGGAAAACGCGATAACTGATTAGATACCTTTCCACAAACGGATTGAATCTGATTTTGGAAATATTTATCTCCCTTGTATATTGACTTAAACGCCATTTAGTAACGATTACTTCCGATTCCAATTCCGCTGTGCTGAGGTTGTATTAGTTTTGTACGGATTTAGATCAACCTTTTATAGACCAAAAGATTACATCGGAGATAGGTTACGCAAACCAGTTATTCAGCCCAACTGGTCCGTGCGGATGTTTTATGCGCTAGTCGAGCTTTCTAACTGCCTTTCTCAGCTACCTTCATTAATCTAATCTAAATCTGTTATCCAAATTTTACCCTTCTTTCCTCCTCCTTCCACCCCCCCCTCCACCCAACATACGCCCAGTCACTTCTAAGAAGGTTACTTTTAACAGTTTAAATAACTTTTTTTTCCAAAAATTTGCAAACTGGTTGCTATAACAAATAAAACATCAATGTAAGGTAACAGCAGTTAAATATTGACATGGATGACTCTAGACTGCTGCTCCCCGCTTCTGGTGGAACTGTGAATGGCATTCTGACACCGACACTACATCAAGAGCGGCTTTTTCATGAAAGTGTTTTCGCATTAAAATGCCCGAGTATGCCCAACACTTCTCTTAACCAACAGGAAAGCAAGTTGGGTTATTTTCAGATCAGCAAACTGTAACCAGTGAAAATCAGCGGGACCTTAACAATTAGTGATCTATTAATGATTTGAAGGGGTGGATTGGATTGAGCCAAATTTCTTGTGTAAAAATATAAATAGGAAACCAGTTTGTTTGGAGGATGCTCAAGTCTGCAAAAGGATATATGAAGTTTAAAGGGAATAGTATAATGTTGGAAAATGAGGTTGTTGACCTTGGCAGGAAGAACAATAAAACACAAAAAAAAATCGAGAGTGCTAGAAATTGAAAACAAAACCATAAATTACTGGAAGAACTCAGCCGGTTTAGCAATATCTGTGGAGGGAAAGCAGAGTTAGCGTTTCAGGACCAGTGACCCTCCTTCAGAACAGGACAAAAAAACAGACCACTTAAATGGAGAACGGTGACAAAATACTGTGTTACAGAGGGATCTGGATATCCTCGTGCATGACTTGCAATTAGCATGCTGTTTTCGGTTTTCTGTCCCGTTGGTTTTCTAACTACCTGCTGCATACCCAGTCTGACAGACCTGTCACTTCAAATTCAGTCAGTCATAGTACTGCCCCAAGGTCTCTTGGCATATGAAAAATCTGTTCCTCATGCAGAGTACAAGCTATACTCTTTACCCACAGCCCTCTGCTTTATCCTGCTTGTTACCCCATCAAATAATATTAGTACACTTGCCAGGTGTGATTCTCCCTTCATGAAGCATTGCTATCTCGGTTTAGTATTATATATTTTTAAATACTCTGCTCTAATCCTTTGATTTAAAAAAAAGTTCTTTAGAAAACTGTTCATGCATGGTAGAATTTAGAATTCGGTTTGAAGGCAATAATGTAGGTCTGAAAAGACTTGCACAAATAAGGGGCCTTTTACAAAGGAATAAGGGAAAAATTCACTCACTGGAGTGGTGTCCACTGTGTGTCCTTGGGGGTCTTTTACACAGATCATTTGATTCAGATCCAAAATAGCTTTATCCCTGTTTGCATCCACAATGTATTCAATGAAACTGTCCCAAATTCAGTTTTTTGTGTGCATTTGGAAAAGTGTGGCCTAATTAGGACAGTCAGCATGGCTTTGTGTGCGGCGGGTCATGTCTTACTAACTTGATCACTTTCACCTCCTTGAAATATTCAGTGAGGGTAGAGCACTGGACGTTGCCTAATGGATTTTAGTAAGGCTTTTGACAAATTGCCTTTTGGTAGACTCATCCAGAAGGTTAAGATGGAAGGGATCCACAGTAACTTGGCTGCTTGGATTCAGAATTGGCTTGCCCATAGAAGGTGCAGGATAGTGGCAGAAAGGTGTTACTTTTCCGGCTGGCAGTCTGTGACTAGTGGTGTTGCACTTTGGGAGATCAAATGTTAAGGAAAACTATACAGACAGTGGCAGGACCCTGAACAGCATTGATCGACAGAGGGATCTTGGGATTCAAGTCCATAGCTCCCTGAAAGTGACCACACAAGTAGATATGGTGGTAAAGAAGGCATATGGCATGCATGCTCTTTTGGTCAAAGCATTGAGTACAAAAATCAGGATGTCATGTTGCAGCTTTATAAAACTTTGGTTAGGCCACATCGTATTGTGTTCAATTCTGGTCGCCACATTACAGGAAGGATGTGAAGGCTTTGGAGAGGGTGCAGAAAAGGTTTGCCAGGATGCTGCCTGAATTAGAGGGTATGAGCTACAGGGAGAGGTTAGAAATGCTAGGATTGTTTTCTCTGAAGTGGAGGAGACTGAGGGGAGATTTGCTGGAAGTCCATAAAATTGAAATGCATAGGTAGGGTTGACAGTCAGAATCTTTTTCTCGGAATTGAAATGTCTAATACGAGGGGGCGTGCATTTAAGGTGAGGGAAAAATTTGAAAGGAGATGAGGGGCAAGTTTTTTTAAATGTGCTAGGTGCATGGAACACACTGCCTGGAGTGATGGTAGATGCAGATACGATAGGGGCTTTTAAGAGGCTTTTAGATAATACGCAAGGAAAGGAGTGATGTAGATCAAGGATTAGTTTAATTTGGTGTCACGTATTGCGTAACATCGTGGGCCAAAGGGCCGGTTCCTCTGTACTGTTCTGTGTTCTATGAAGCTGTTCCAAATACAGTTTATGAATTCTTCCTTGTTGCTACCTTGGCCAATATGATGTTGCAAATGTTCATGAAGATTAACATCATATGATTGTATTCATAAAAGGCAATAATCATATCTTTTATTTTTGTTTTAAAATGTAAATTAAGTTCTAAATTGTGACAAGGCTGACTTTGTATTAGACAGGAACTTTCAAAAGTTGATTGGGGAAGGCTGTTTGTATATAAAGGGACATTTGGCAAGTAGAAGACTTTCAAAAGTGAGATAATGAGTTCAGGGCCAGCACGTTCCTATTGGTGTGAAGGGCAAGGCTAGCAAGAGAAGAGAACACTGGATGACTAGATCTCTTGAGGCTGTCCTCAAGAAAAGGGAGGCATATGTCAGGTATAGATTGCTATGATCAAGTGAATCCCTTGAATGTAGGGGGAGTTGGGACTACACTTAATAGGGAAATCAGGAGGGTAAAAAGGAGAAATGAAATAGCTTTGGCATTTTAAGGTTAAGGAGAATCCAAGCGATTAAGGGCAAAGGAGTAAGTAGGGAGAGAATAGGGCCCCATAAAGATCAATGAGGCTGTCTCCATCAGGAGATGGGTGAAATCCAAAATGAATATTTCATGTCTTTCTCTACGGTATATACTGACACGGAAGCTGGGAACTTGGAAATAAGTAGGGATGTCTTGAAAAGAATCCACAAAGAAGAGGCAGTGCTGGAGGTCCTAAAATCCCTAAAGGTAGATAAATCCCCAGATGCTGATCGTGTTTCCCAGGAGGTTGTAGGAACCTAGGGAAGAAACTGCAGGGCCTCTAGCAGATATATTTGTATCATCAACAGTCATGGGTGAGGTGCCAGAAGTCTGGAGAGTGGCTAATGTTGTGATATTATTTGAGGCTGCAAGGAAAAGCTGGGTAATTACAGATTGGTGAGCCTGAAGTCAGTAAGTTGTTTTGAGAAGATTCTGAGCGACAGGATGGAATGTATTGGGAAAGGCAAGGACTGATTAGGGATAGTCAGCATGGCTTTGACAATTCTTCACACAATTAAATTTGAGCTTTGAAGAGGTGACTGAAGATAGATGAGGGAACTTCAGTACATGTTGTCTACATGGGCTTTAGCATGGCCTTCAAGGTTCTGCATAGTCGACCAGTTAGTAAGATTAGATCACACGAAATCCAGGGAGATCCAGTTCTGAGGAAGGGTCACTGGACCCGAAACATTAACTCTTTTCTCTCCACAGATGCTGTCAGATATGCTGAGCTTTTCCAGTAATCTGTTTTTGTTTCTGATTTACAGCATTTGCAGTCCTTTCAGTTTTTATTTGGATACAAAATTGGCTGGATGGTAGGAGACAGAGTGGTAGTAGATGATTGTTGTTTATACTGGAGGCCTGTGACCAACGGTGTGCCAAAATGATTGGTCCTGGGTCCACATGTTAGTCATTTCCATAAATGATATGGATGTGAATATAGGATGCATGGTTAATATGGTTGCAGATGACACCAAAATTGGTAGTATAGTGGACAGTGAAGAAGGTTATCTCTGAGTACAGTAGGACACTGACCAACTGGGCTGGTTGGCCAAGGATTGGCAGATGGAGTTTAATTCTGATAAACGCACCTTGAATTTTGGCAAGACAAACCAAGGCAGGACTTGCACATTTAATGGTAGGGTCCTGGTGAATTCTGAGACCTAGGGGTGCAGGTGCCTAGTTACTTGAAAGTGGTGTCACAGGTAGACAGGTGTTTGATATGCTAGTCTTTATTGACCAGAACATTGTGTACAGGAGGTGACACGTCATGTTGTGGTTGCACAGGATATTGGTGAGGCCTCTTTTTGAATACTGCATTCAGTTCTGGTCTCCCTGCTCTTGGAAGGATGTTGTTAAACTTGAAAGGCTTCAGAAAAGATTTCCGAGGATGTTGCTGGGATTGGAGGGTTTGAGGCTGCGGTGTTTTCCCCTAGAAGTCAGAGGCTGAGGGGTGACCTGTGTAGAGGATAATAAAATCATAAGGGGCATGGAAGTGGTAAATAACCAAGGCCCTTTTCTGAGGGTAGGGGAGTTCAAAATTAGAGGGCATAGGTTTAAGGTGAGAGGAGAAAAAGTTAAAAGGGACCTGATGGGCAACTTGTTCATGCAGAGGGTGGTGGGTGTATGAAACAATTTGCCAGAGGAAGTGGTAAAGGGGAGTGCAATTAGGACAGTTTTTAAAAGAAACATTTGGACAGATACATAGGAAAGGTTTGGAGGGATGTGGGCCAAATGCAGGCAAATGGGACTAGTTCAGTTTAGGAAACCTGGTCAGCATGGACAAATTGAGCCAAAGGGTCTGTTTCAGTGCCATATGACTCAATGCCTCAATTGTGAGCGGACCCTTGAGCTACTCCCACCCGTGTCTTCTTTCCCTTATTGTTCTTACCTCCATCTATATGGATTCTTCATCTTCCAGTCCAGGATCATTTCTTGCCATCAAACTTTTTCCATGCCCTAATAACAAAGCTGATACCCCTCTTCTCCACCCCCCCGCCCTTTCTTTCTGCATGGCATTTTGAAAAGTCATATAGCCTAAATATTTATTTTATCCTCCCTACAATCCTCACTCTTGTATGAACCTCAACTATTGGACAAGTTCAGGGCTGAGGCTCCTCAAAATCTACCTCTTAAGTTCCCATACCTGCCGCACCTGCAGTCATGTGGTTGTGTTCCTGATCACAGTTAAATCAGGTTTGGTCTGAGGAGTGTGACTGCCTCGTGGACCAAAATAGCCAGGTAACTTCTACTCAGTGTGGTGCAACGTCTGCAGCTTGGACTCCAGCTCAGTCGCTCAGAGCTTAAGTAGCTGGAGCTGTGTAATCTTACTACAGATGCTGGATCATCTTGCTGTCCTGCAGCTCCCACATGCTGCGACAGCAATACATCACCTGGCCTGCCACTTCTATTGTATTCAATTTAATTCATAACTCTATCCCTGTTCTTTGCCCTTTTACTGTAATTATTGATTCTCATGTATACCCTAAAGCTATTTTTAAGAAAGAAAAGACTGGATAGCTAAACACAAACTGAAGACCTCATCTTTACTTTTAAAGACTAGAAATACTCAACATTGCTTTGTTAGGCAAAAGCAACCAATCACCCCTCCTTCCTCCTCTTCGTTCCTTGATGCTGAACTCTTGCAATTTATTGTTAGCTGCATTAAGTTGGCAATAGATGCTCCAAAATAAAGGGCTTGGTTCAGTCACTTAATGAGGATCCAGTTTCACCTGGGTTCTTGACTAGTCTCCTCTTTGATTGCAACCCTCTGGGGGATGGGAACAAACCTCCTTAAGGCTAGCACCTACAAAATTTAAACTAGGTCTTGGTTTAATGCTGACTACCAGCTAATGAGGCTACATTAGGTTTGATTAGAGCTGAGACAGACTGATTCGCCACTGTTAGCCTTGACAGCTATGCTTTGAACAAGACTGTGTGAAGGAAAGTTTAAAGCAATCATACTGAGATTTCTGAATTGATCATTAGTTTAGATGCCATTTCGAATTTGTTTTCAATTTTGTAGGTTGAGGGGAAATGAGAGAAAAGTGATTGAAATGCCTCAAAATAAAGTTGAAATTTCATTTTTTGGCCATACAATATTTGAGTTATTATTTTGGATATTTTATTGTAAATATTTATTCTTTTCTAGGTTAATTGTCAAGAAAGATTGGACGAATTCTGTGTTTCTTCAATGAGGAACTACAGGTTGATCTTCTGCCACAATCTCAAGCAACCATAGCTGGCTAAAAAAAATGCTTATTCACTAAGGGTGATTGGTGTATAAGTTATTTTTTAAGTGGGTGTCTGTGCTCAGAGGTAGGTTTCTGGATTTGGGACATTATTATTTAATGTTCTTTTAATCAGTTGATTCTTCCTGCACAATAATCTGGCAAGAGGAGCCATGCCAGTTTTCTTATTCTTGAATTACCTGTTAATTGAAATGATTTTCCATGTTTTTTCAATCTTTTTTGTGCTTTTTTTTAATCAGACATGTATTTTATAAACTAATAATTACAAGTAGATTTAGTTTTAATCTAAACCAATACAATCATATATTGGATGTTTTATATAGTGAATTTCATGGGTTTTATGCACCTATAATCCTGTGTCGGTGTTATCCAAGGCCTTTTTCAGCAATAAATCAGTGTGATAATAGTATTTGTATTGAGATAATCTGATCGTATTTTCTCATCTCTCATTTTACAGAATAAGAGGAGCAAAGCTAGCTAGCTATCAGGACCTTGTTTTACATTAGATTTCATTCTAATTGTAGTTTGAGTCAACTGTTGTTTATTTTCTCACTATACAATTCCATGCACCATCTGTAACCAAAACAAAAAGAAAGAAGAGTTAATGGGAAAAGAACAAAACAAAAGCAATAAGTGGAAGAGAGGAGATAAACAGCAGTAGTTGAGACTAATGAGACCATTGATGTACCATATGCAAGCCCACAGGAAACTAATTAAAACATATTTTTGCAGACCTTTTCCAACTCTATTCTTACATTTGAAACGATAACTACTTGTGCAAAAAGGGCCATTTATTTAGAGTCTTGGTCCCCGCATGGATGAAAGTGCTCAATTCTAGAGATAAGTGACTGCCTTTAGCATCAAATTAGCATTTGGTTATGTGTTGTGGCAAGGAGGCCTGGCAAAGTTGAAGTCAGTGGAAACTGGTTGGGGAGCAGTGGTGACGAAATGTGACAGACTTGAATTAGATCTAGCAACTCGACTGGGTATTCACGAAGCACTGAACTGTCAAGAATGCAAAATTGTACTCCAGCACAATCTGCAGCCTTGTGCCCTGGCATATCCCCCACTCAACTGTTACTTTTAAGCCAGGGAATCAACCCTGGTTCACTGGGGAGTTCAGGAGGGCATACCAGGAGCAGCATCGGCATCAGCATCAGGCATACTGTGAAGCTATCAAACAGGACCACTTACCTGACAAACAGCATAAGCAGCAAGTGATAGAGCTAAGTGATCCTACAACCAATAAATCAAATCTAAGTCCATAGTCCAGCCACATCTAGTCATGAATGGACGTGCACAATTAACTTACTGGAGGAGGAGCCTCCACAAATATTCCCATCCTCAATGATGAAAGAGCCCAACAATCGCCTCAAAAGATGAGGCTGAAGCAATTGCAGCAATCTTCAGCCAGAAGTGCTGAGTGAATGATCCATCTCTGCCTACTCCAATGGCTACCACCATCACAGATACCAGTCTTCAGCCAATTCAGTTCACTCCATATGACCTCAAGAAACTATTGGAGGCATTGGATGGTGCAAAGGCTGTAGGCCCTGATGACATTCCAACAATAGTACTGAGGACTTGTGCTTCAGAACTTCGTGCTCCCCTAGCCAAGCTCTTCCTGTACAGTTACAGCACTGGCATCTACTTGACAGTGTGGAACATTTTCCAGGTATGTGCTGTACAGACAAAGCAGGACAAATCCAACTTGACTGATTGCGCCCCCCCTATTGGTCTACTCTCAGTTGTCAGTAGACTGATGGTCGGTGTCATCAACAATGCTATCAAGCAGTGCCTGCTCAGCAATAACCTGCTCGGTGACACCTAGTTTGGGTTGTGCCAGGGCCACTCGGCTCCTGATCTCATTACTGCCTTGGTTCAAACATGGACAAAAGAGCTGAATTCTGGAGGTGAGGTGAGAGTGACATTTCTTGACATCAAGGGCACATTTGACCAAATATCACGTCAGGGAGCCTTAGAAAAACTGGAATTAACTGATTTCAGGAGGCAAACTCTCTGCTGGTTTGAGTCATACATGGAAACTGGTTGTGGTTGCTCGTCAGCCATCTCTGCAAGAGTTCCTCAGGGTAGTATCCTTGGCCCAATCATTTCAGCTGCTTCATCACCAGACCTCCCCTCCCTCTATAAGGACAGAAGTGGGGATGTTTGTCAGTGATTGCATAACTGTTCAGCCCCATTTGTGACTCCTTGGATATGAAGCAGTCCATGTTCAAATGCAACATCATCTAAACAGTAACCAGACTTGGGCTAACAAGTGGCAAGTAACATTCATGCCACACAAATGCCAGGCACTGATCATTGTGAAGGAACAATCTAACCACCAGCTCTTGACATTCAGTGTGACCATCACTGAATTCCTCACTATCAATATCCTTGGTTACCATTGACCAGAAACTCAACTCCATTAGCTACATAAACACTGGCTACAAGGGCAGGTTAGAAGCTAGGAATATTACACTCTCAAAGTCTGTCTGTTATCTACAAGGCACAAGTCAAGAATGCAATGGAACACTCCCACCTGCCTGGATGAGTGCAGCTCCAACAACACTCAAGCTTGACACCATCCAGGATAAAGCAGCCTGCTTGATTGGCACCACATACACTCCCTCCACCAAAACTTAGGCCACACTGCTACTATTTACAAGATACACTGCAGAGCTTCACTAAATTAGATAGCACCTAACAAACCCATGACCACTTCCATATAGAAAGACACGGGCAGCAGATAAATGGGACCACCACTATCTGCAAGTTCCCCTCCAAGCCATTCACTGTCCTGAATTGGAAATATATCATCGTTCTTTCACTGTCATTCGGTCAACATCTTGAATTCCCTTCCTAACAGCATTGTGGGTCTACCTACAGTGTGTAGCCTGCAGCAGGTAACCATCACCATCTTAAGGGGCAACTAAATATGCTGGCTAGTCAATTATGGCCACGTCCCATGAATGAAGAAAAACAATTTGAATAGATCAAGTCAAGTCCAGCTTGAAAGAAGATGGCTGTCTGTTTGGAGGTCAGTCATCCCAGTCTCAGGATGTTGCTGCTGAGCTCCTCAGGATAGTGTCCTCACTCCAAACGTCTTCAGCTTGATTGATAACCTTCCCTTTATTAAATGATTAGAATTGGAAAGGTTTGGTGATGGTTAACCAATGTTCACTAATATTTGGGATTCCTCACGTACTGAAGCAGTTTATTTTCAAATGCAGCAAGTCTTTGAGTAATCAGGCTTGGGTTGATGAGTGGTAAGTAACGTTCATGCCATGAATACCAGGCAATGATCATTTACAAGTTGATAATCCACTCATCTCCTTGTGATATTACCATCATTGAATCCTTCTGTATCAACGTCCCGGTTACCATTGACCAGGAACTGAACTGGCCCAATTTTATAAATACTGTGGCTACCTGTCATGCAGATGGTGGAATTTGAATTGATTAAAAATCTGGAAATAAAAGTCCAATGAAACTGTTATCGATTTGTCACAGAAAAATGGTTACTAATGTCCTTGAGATAAAGAAACTGCTTTCCTACCTGGTAACTCCAGGTAGGTAACAGCAGTGTGGTTGATTTTTCAACAACCCTCTGTCCATCCCTAATTACCCATGAAAGCTGGCCTAGTCAGTAGTGCCCGCATCCTGTGAATGAACTATTTTAAAAAAAAAAAAAAAAGCCAGCCAGATGCTGGGAGTTCTGTGGCAAGTAACTTGTCTTCGGACTCCCCAAAGCCTGTTCATTATCTGTAAAGCATAATTTAGGAGTGTGATAGAATTCTTTGCACTTGCCTGAAGTGGTGCTTAAAGGAGGATGGTTATAGCTACAATGCTTAACCTTCAGACAGTTCCAGGAGGAGATGGAGGGATAGTTTTTTTATTTGACATAACTGCGTAGGATGTAATATGTGACTGAGACCTATTTTAGTACTGTGGCAAGTTGGACACTTTTTATTTGAAGGATTCCAACATGGAGTTCCATGAAATTGGAACTAGGCAAAACATTGTGATGTTGGCGATCTGGGTGGGGGGGTTGTAATTTGAGAAGTACGGGGTTGAGAGTTGCCCTCTTGAGAGTTTGACTTTTGAGGAGTGATAATTGCAGATTTAAGGAAGAGAGACAATCTGAGAAAATACTGCTAATGGTTATGGAAGTTGGGATACTTTCTAACATAGTTTAACACTGGGTACATACCTCCAATCTGTATATCAACCCTGGATATAACAACATCAAGAATTTGGGTAAAGCAATTTGTGCTAGTTACTAATTTAAAATTTTAATAGAATTTGAAAGGTTGGGGATTCAATTCCTGAAACACATGAAGTACCAAAATGTTGTGTTTAGGATGAGATCAGGAGGGAAGGAGTGGCTCCCTTCTTTCCTATTCATTTGATTGTAAATTTTTGATCTGCAAATTTTTGAAGAGTATATCTGCCAATTCATTATCTATTTAACTTTGCTGTTTGTAAGGAGCTAGCTAAGCAGGGTTCCTAGAGTTTAACCAGTATTTGCTCATGATGCACAGTAAGCAATGCCAGAGGAGATTCAGTATTAGTGTTTTTTTTGTTTCCTTTGTGTGCTTTTACTCTGAAACTAGTCTTTCATAGCACTGTATTTAAGAATCTGAAGGAAAAATAGTTGACAAAATTTGATCCGCTAATGACTTTCTTTTTGAAGATACTTAGGTAGTCTGGTGAATGCATGTCCTAGAAAGCCAATGTTGAATGCTTACAAATGAGCAAAATACTGCAGATGCTGGAGATCTGAAATAAGAACCAAGCTTTTGAACAGAAATTGTCAATTCCAATATGACCTCCAGAAGAGCCATATTGGACTTGATGTTAACTCTTTCTTTCTTTCTATGCAGATGCTACAGACCACATGAGTTTCTTCACAACTTTACATGCATTCTATAATAAAAAGAATGTGCTTTTGTAATGGTATTGACTAACAGCAATTCCATCATGTCTTTGTCAAATGATAAGATGGCTAAGTGGCTTGGGTGTTGTTGACTGTTAAGCTGCACAATGCTTGAATTGCATTGTTGC